TTTTCAACATACTATTTGTTGTTCTGTATATGTATAGTACCATTGAGTTTGAATAATCAAGTTATTCGATTATTGAGTGATTTGTGCAATAGTAATGGTGTATTCGAATCTATTCAAACGCGTTGTATTGATCGGAAAGAGTGTTGGCATCCACCAGCAAAATGCTATTTGAATCCATTAGACTCTGTTGATCAATCAGTAATAAATGAAAATCAACAAAAATATAAAAATGCGTGAGTTTATGTGAAGAATTATATTAATAATAATGTCTATATTCTCGAGATCTGCAGGAACAATTTTCGTATTCGTGATAAAATTCCATTGCCTGTTAATGAAGCTCGATGTCTATTCGGCATAGCCGATGAAACTGGTACATTAAAACCAGGAGAATGTGTCATTCAGTATTGCAGCCGCGAGAATTCGTCCACTTCCGAAAAATATATTGTATCTACAGGTATAATTTTAATGCTTCGTAATTTTATTTACTAATTGAATCATGTTTATATTGTAATCATCGGTACTGTATTAGTTACTAAAAATCCATGTCTTCATCCGGGAGACATCCGTAAGCTTAAAGTTGTATATGTACCAAAGCTTCAGTCTTGTATACGCGATGGTATTGTATTTTCTAGTAATGGCCATCGGCCTAGCTTTAATGAGATGACTGGAGCTGATCTTGACGGTTATCAGTATTGGGCTTATTGGGATGATGAGTTTCAAATCGAAGAAGTTGTTAAACCATTATTTTATTCATTGGCAAAAAAAACTTGTGTCAATCAAATAAAAAATGAACTCATTGTGGATCATGTGCTTGATACATTCAGAGATACAGCTCCGGATATTATTGCTAATACACATTCGGTGATTGCCGACAAACATTCCGATGGTACACTTTCGAAAGAATGTGAAGAATGTGCTCTGCTCTTCGCCCGAGCAATTGATGCGCGCAAAACTGGTGAAAATATTAATTTAAGAGAGGTCCGCCAGAAAACCAGATATAAAAAAGGGAGTTGGCTGTAGACAAAATTTTGATTTTGGATTTGATCTTCTCAAATGAAAGGCCTTTTAGAGTTAGTACTAAATCCAAAATATTAGCTTGATCTGACCATCCATTGCTGAGTTCTGAAGTACACTTCGATAACAGGGTAATAGGACCTAGCCAAAAAACTGTCATTTTTCGTACTTTTAATATGGTACGAAAGTATTCCACTATTTCGAACATTAACATAGTGATGATTTATGGAAAAAGAAAGAGCATTGTTGTGGCTATCAGACTATGCCTTTTTGGACTCTCCACAAACATTATTATATGGAAAAACAAGGACCAATAAAGTATTTTCTAACCAAAAAATATTTCGATTTTGAGCGTTTTTTCAAAGTATTTCGAATCCTTTCCTTTAAAAATGGAGGTTCCCCATAAATTTGATGACACCAGAAGATAGCCCGTGAAAAACTGCATCTTCTGGTGTAAAAATATCTGAGAAAAATGATAGCCCGCTCAATAAACTTTTTCAAACAAAAAGCACGCCTACACACCTTTTTATGTTCATTATAGGGTACACTAAAACATTGTGTACCTTCGTTCTTCACTATTCGATTTAGAACCGGAGCCATTTTTACAGCATCACTAGTGATCGCTAAGATCTGCAAAACTGTCAAGACAAGGTCCTGCAAATAAGCTGTCTTCTATAGGTTATCTGGTATACACCATCTCCAATATAGAGAAAGATACCTTACAGTGAGCCATGTGTACCTCCGTTCCCCACTATTTGATTTAAAACTGTAGCCATTTTT